TCAAGTTTGAACCCCAAGTTGGGGCCAAAGGCTCTGACAACCGTCCAGACGTGTCAAAATTGAACCCCAAGTTGGGGCCAAAGGCTCTGGCAACCGTCCAGACGTCTCAAGATTGAACCCCAAGTTGGGGCCAAAGGCTCCAACAACCGTCCAGACGTCGCAAGATTGAACCCCAAGCTGGGGCCAAAGGCTCTGGCAATCGTTCAGACGTCTTAAGATTGAACCTCAAGTTGGGCCAAAGGCTCTGGCAACCGTCCAGACGTCTTAAGATTGAATCCCACGTTGTGGCAACTGTCAAGACGTCTCAAGTTTGAACCCCAAGTTGGGGCCAAAGGCTCTGGCAACCGTCCAGACGTCTCAAGATTGAACCCGTAGTTGGGGCCAAAGGTTCTGGCAAACAAAACCAAACTTGTGCGGAAACCAAGCCATGCGGCCGTTCTCTGTGCGAGCGGATGTGGTCGACCGCCAGCTGCCGCGCTTCCTGGCCACCCATTCCAACGCACCTGGCCACTGCCCCAAACTGGCAGTTGCCGTCTTGTGCAATGGGCAGCCTCACCAGCTCCAGACGGTCGAGGGTCTGCCTTAGCCATGAATCAGCACAAATTGCTTGAGCTGATGCGTTTACAGCTTTCAGGTGAATGATCCTGCCCACGTGGACATTTGACTGTTGTGCTCATGTCAGCAAAGACTTTGCCAGCGAGGTGCTGCTGGAAGACGGTCAGCTGGTATTCCTGGAATGGCTCACAAGCTTAATTTGGGAGCTGCTGCTATGTGAAAAAGATGCTGTTGCTACAGCCCTATCCAACGATGCAGCCACTACATTGACAGCTCTGCCTGTTTCAAAGCAACAATGGGCTTGCGCATCCATGCACATGCCGTGACAGGCTCTTTGACAATTGCTCCACATGCTATCCCGTCACTTGCCATGCAACATGTTTTGAACCCAAGGTTCCTGCCTGTGCGGGGGTTCAGGGATCAGGGTGAGGGTCCCAAGGATTTTTAAAGTGTACATGGCTGGTATGTCTGTCTGCAGCCGTCAAAGCCTCCTAGGCCGATTCTTGACACTCGACTTCGATCCCGGGTGGAAACCTCCCAGCAGAACTTCAAACTCGAATTCCCAAACCAAACAAACCGGCAGATCCCAGGCGCTCATACAGTGGACGTTAGATCAAAGCCGCGCCTCGACGCCAGCGGACGAGTCACCATCGCTGCCTTTGGAACTGTGCAGGGATTGTTGCCGCAACCTCTTCCTTTATCATTTTATCCTGCATAATACTGTACTGTGGACAAGTCTCCAGGGTTGTTCTGGGCTGCAGACATCGAATGATGATATCAAGTACATCTCTGAACATTCTAGGCAACGGCGCCTCGTGATGGGGCCTGACACACTTGGGATTGCCATTCCCATTGCCGTTGGCATGAAGCAGGAATAGTGCAAGCACTGAAGGTAGATTAGCTCATGAACTCAGTTCAGCTTTCAGTTTCCATGTCAATACGTGGCTTCAAATTGCAGCCAGGCCGCGACGAGCACAACTACATGCAGCGTAGAGCAATTACACATCCATACCCACACCTGCAACGATCCCCTGCTCCAACAGCCCTTCGCTCAGGCACAAGGACCCTCTGGATGTGGACAGGTGACTGCTCCGCCCTGGCGACCGTGCTGGTGAGGCTGGCAATCCTGAGGCGATGCATAAACCAGACATGAGAGGTAGGGATTCGGGGTCCATTGAGCATTGGGCCAACCCTACTCCAACTACGCGACCGCCAAAGCATTTCGGCTTGGGATCAGAATTTCCGGAGATTTTGCAGCTTCCCTCCTCTCGTTCCTGCACATCCTTCTCTCGTACCAATGTTGCTAAAACTGGCTACGTGGGCTGCCTGGAGCTTCAGCCAAATATCGTACACAGTTAATTTAGGGATAAATTTACAGGCATGATATTCTAAATTGTCAGGCTGCTACGCTGATCAAGCAAGCCTGAGTTCACTTAATCTTTGCAACCCACACCAAGCCGCACACGTAGATTACCTAGCATAAGCAGCACAAGAACTGCACTGCTGGACTTTTGGACCCAATGACCCTTCTAAACGCCAACTCTTCAAAACGCCACTAATCCCTAAGAGCATGAGCCATTCGGGATGATTTGTCTGGATGCGTTCCGTCATAGGGATCCACTTTGCCAACACCAGGCACAACAAGGCACGACGCAGGATTGGGACAGCTCAGCCTTCTGGCCCCTTCCAAAAAATGCCGTGCCAAGCTCTAGGAGTGCACGCAATCCAGACATAATGGTCCAGGTAGGATCCCTCTGATAAGTTGTTTCTCTTCGCTCGATGTTGCAGTACAGAAACGCATGGCGTGGGTGTAGGACTGTGGCGCTCGCAAAGGCCTTTCTATCAGGACTTCTTCGACAGTACTCATACCAACCCCTGGAACGGGTAAGGATCACCTCGAGGATGGTTCTAGTATGGCTCATGTTTTGCTTCCCTATTCAGCTTTACAATTGAGGCCCCGGTTATGTTCTACATTGTAGGCTAAGCATCCATTCTTAGGGGGGGGATGGGAGGGGGTATAGGACTCGAAGGGATCCTGGTCAGGCATAGGAATGCCACACCGTGCTGGTAAGCATTATCCGTCAAGGATTACGAGGGACAACTCTACAAGGGTTGAAGATTTTTCGGAGTTCTTGAATATGCCTGAATATGCCGGGTGGCGCCCAGAGGAGCAAGGCAGCTGGGGCCTTGGTTGCACATTGAAGGCAATATTTGCAGGGTTCAGGGTCCAGGAGTCTCAAACAGCTGTCGGTCCGTTTTTGCGAGGGAGAGGTGTAGTTCTTTGGCTCTTTCGCCTGTCGTTAGCACTCGCCACCTCTCAGGGAACTGCTCTGTCTGTCGCTGTTAGCCCTCTTAGCCCGTGGGTAGTGCACCCTTTTTCCCAGACCGAAAATTGCCGCAAATATGTGCGGGAAACGGGTTGCACTCAGAGTGACCCGCAACCCCCAAGTACATGTTCGAGGAGGTCGTTTTGGAGCGCGCGCGACAAACACATTCAGCAGGTAGGTAGTCCACACTCGACGTTCACAGCCCGTCATGGTCCCTCCAAGGCAGGGTCCTGATGCTGCCGTCTCCGGGTCGGATTTTACACAAACTACAACCTGGTGTAAACGCATACCTCTCTCTCTATCGAACAACATGCCCTCTAAAAGGTATCAAGAGTCAGCGGATAGCAGTTGCACTTGCGCCCATCCGAATCCTTCGCAGCACCTATCCCTGAATCAACCTCTGAGTCGTGCGAAGCCAGAGGACGGGCCGCCGCCACGAAGACACGGGACTTGCCTCGATTTGTTCAACGTGAAACGCAAAGCCTACGCCTCTCGCCTTCATGGGGACACCTCGCGCCCTTCCCTGCCGTAAACACTGATGTGAGAGCTGTCACCGTCATCGCAGCCGTTGCTTGCTTTGCTTGCTAGCGGAAGGTGATCTGCACAACTCCCAAAGCCTGTTACATGCATAGCTTGAATCCATGATCAGGGCCCCGTTCTCGCAAACTGAACTTGTTGGCTCTTGAGTACTCGGGGAGTGCACTGCTAATGACTCCAAGGTGCCAAAGTCTCGAAGAAACCACCTGGGACGAGCCCTCACCCGTCAGAATAGCGGCCTGTACCGCGGCACCGTAGGCCACTGCTTCATCAGGGTTGATGGACCTGTTCGGCTCCTTGCCATTGAAGAACTCCTGGATCATTGACTGCACCTTGGGAACGCGCGTGGAGCCACCGACCAGCACCACATCGTGCACACTCTTCTTGTC